CCTCTGGTCTCCCTCTGGTCTCCCTCTGGTCTCCCTCTGGTCTCCCTCTGGTCTCTCTCTGGTCTCTCTCTGGCCTCTCTCTGGTGTCTTTCTGGTCAAGCCTCGGGGTTCTTATGGTCTGTGTGCCTCTGAAGGAGGGAGATGCCTGGTCTCTGTGGGGGCAGCGTGTGTTGCTTTGTGCCGCTGTTGTTTCGCTGCGACGAGCGACAACTGGACAATCTGAGCTCAGCCAAACTCAGCCACGAAGACCAGCTCGATAAACTACACCTGGAGGAACCAGAGAGCCCCAACAACCAGGTGAGAGACCAGAGACCAGAGGGAGACCAGAGCCCCCCGCAGAGTGAGTCCACCCCCACACAGAGTGAGTCCCACCCCCACACAGAGTGAGTCCCCCCCCCACACAGAGTGAGTCCACCCCCACACAGAGTGAGTCCCCCCCCCCACACAGAGTGAGTCCCCCCCCCACACAGAGTGAGTCCACCCCCACACAGAGTGAGTCCCACCCCACAGAGTGAGTCCCACCCCACACAGAGTGAGTCCTACCCCCCCGCAGAGTGAGTCCACCCCCCGCAGAGTGAGTCCTACCCCCCCGCAGAGTGAGTCCACCCCCCGCAGAGTGAGTCCTACCCCCCCGCAGAGTGAGTCCCACCCCCACACAGAGTGAGTCCTACCCCCCCGCAGAGTGAGTCCACCCCCCCGCAGAGTGAGTCCTACCCCCCCGCAGAGTGAGTCCTACCCCCCCGCAGAGTGAGTCCCACCCCCACACAGAGTGAGTCCCACCCCCACACAGAGTGAGTCCCCCCCCCACACAGAGTGAGTCCACCCCCACACAGAGTGAGTCCCACCCCACAGAGTGAGTCCCACCCCACACAGAGTGAGTCCCCCCCCCACACAGAGTGAGTCCCACCCCCACACAGAGTGAGTCCCCCCCCCACACAGAGTGAGTCCACCCCCACACAGAGTGAGTCCCACCCCACAGAGTGAGTCCCACCCCACACAGAGTGAGTCCCACCCCACACAGAGTGAGTCCCACCCCCACACAGAGTGAGTCCCACCCCACACAGAGTGAGTCCCACCCCCCGCAGAGTGAGTCCCACCCCCCCCGCACAGAGTGAGTCCCACCCCCCCCGCACAGAGTGAGTCCCACCCCCACACAGAGTGAGTCCCACCCCCACACAGAGTGAGTCCCCCCCCCCACAGAGTGAGTCCACCCCACACAGAGTGAGTCCCACCCCCGCAGAGTGAGTCCACCCCCACACAGAGTGAGTCCCACCCCACACAGAGTGAGTCCTACCCCCCCCGCACAGAGTGAGTCCCACCCCACACAGAGTGAGTCCCACCCCACACAGAGTGAGTCCTACCCCCCCGCAGAGTGAGTCCTACCCCCCCCGCAGAGTGAGTCCACCCCCCGCAGAGTGAGTCCACCCCCCCGCAGAGTGAGTCCTACCCCCCCGCAGAGTGAGTCCACCCCCCGCAGAGTGAGTCCACCCCCCCGCAGAGTGAGTCCTACCCCCCCCCCCCACCCCCGCAGAGTGAGTCCACCCCCCCGCAGAGTGAGTCCTACCCCCCCGCAGAGTGAGTCCCACCCCCACACAGAGTGAGTCCCACCCCCACACAGAGTGAGTCCCACCCCCACACAGAGTGAGTCCCACCCCCACACAGAGTGAGTCCCCCCCCCACAGAGTGAGTCCACCCCCACACAGAGTGAGTCCCACCCCCGCAGAGTGAGTCCACCCCCCCGCAGAGTGAGTCCCACCCCGCACAGAGTGAGTCCCACCCCCCCCGCACAGAGTGAGTCCCACCCCCACACAGAGTGAGTCCCCCCCCCCGCAGAGTGAGTCCCCCCCCCCGCAGAGTGAGTCCACCCCCACACAGAGTGAGTCCCACCCCCACACAGAGTGAGTCCCACCCCCACACAGAGTGAGTCCCACCCCCCGCAGAGTGAGTCCACCCCCCCGCAGAGTGAGTCCCACCCCGCACAGAGTGAGTCCCACCCCCCCCGCACAGAGTGAGTCCCACCCCCACACAGAGTGAGTCCACCCCCCACAGAGTGAGTCCCCCCCCCCACAGAGTGAGTCCCCCCCCCCGCAGAGTGAGTCCACCCCCCCACACAGAGTGAGTCCCACCCCCCCCCCGCACAGAGTGAGTCCCACCCCCCGCAGAGTGAGTCCACCCCCCCGCAGAGTGAGTCCCTGCAGAGTCCGACCTGGGACTGATGGTCTAAGGACAGGCCTAGTCTCAGATTGAAGTAAAACCAGACAGACTGGATCTGACCGATGTCGTCTTTATGCAAACTCTGGTTCATTCAAATGCTCTGGATTTGTTTGTGTGAGATTTATGCAAAGAAACCACCTTTTCATTTTTTCTCCATGTTCTGAGATGTTCTTCAGCACAGAATGGGCAAGAATTCCATTTACTGATTAATCAAATTCAAAAATCTGAAAAATGTCAAAATGGTTAAATTTTGACATTAAGTTAATCTTTGTTTCTCTGTCAGCAGCACATTCTACCTCTGACACATGGTTCATTCTCTCTGGTCTCTCTCTGGTCTCTCTCTGGTCTCTCTCTGGTCTCTCTCTCTGGTCTCTCTCTGGTCTTTCTCTCTGGTCTCTCTCTCTGGTCTCTCTCTGGTCTCTCTCTCTCTGATCTCTCTCTGGTCTCTCTCTCTCTCTGGTGTCTCTCTCTCTCTCTCTCTCTCTCTCTCTCTCTCTCTCTCTGGTCTCTCTCTCTCTCTCTCTCTCTCTCTCTCTCTCTCTCTCTCTCTCTCTGGTCTCTCTCTGGTCCCTCTCTGGTCTTTCTCTGGTCTCATCTGGTCTCTCTGGTCCCTCTCTGGTCTCTCTGGTCTCTCTCTGGTCTCTCTCTGGTCTCTCTCTGGTCTCTCTCTGGTCTCTCTCTGGTCTCTCTCTGGTCTCTCTCTGGTCTCTCTCTAGTCTCTCTCTGGTCTCTCTCTGGTCCCTCTCTGGTCTCTCTCTCTGGTCTCTCTCTCTGGTCTCTCTCTCTGGTCTCTCTCTCTGGTCTCAGAGAAAAGAGAGAGACCTGAAAGAACAAAGAGAGACCAGAAAGAGACCGGAGAGAGACCGGAGAGACGAGAGAGAGACCAGAAAGAACAGAGAGAGACCAGAGAGACCAGAGAGAGACCTGAAAGAACAGAGAGAGACCGGAAAGAGACCGGAGAGAGACCGGAGAGACGAGAGAGAGACCTGAAATAACAGAGAGAAACCAAAGAGACAAGAGAGAGACCTGAAAGACCAGAGCGAGACCAGAAAGACGAGAGAGAGACCTGAAAGAACAGAGAGAGACCAGAGAGACCAGAAGGAGGCTGTAGACCCAGGACTGAGGCTGTAGACCCAGGACTGAGGCTGTAGATCCAGGACTGAGGCTGTAGACCCAGGGCTGAGGCTGTAGACCCAGGACTGAGACTGTAGACCCAGGACTGATGCTGTAGACCCAGGGCTGAGGCTGTAGATCCAGGACTGAGGCTGTAGATCCAGGACTGAGGCTGTAGACCCAGGACTGAGACTGTAGACCCAGGACTGATGCTGTAGACCCAGGACTGAGGCTGTAGACCCAGGACTGAGGCTGTAGACCCAGGACTGAGACTGTAGACCCAGGACTGAGGCTGTAGACCCAGGACTGAGGCTGTAGACCCAGGACTGAGACTGTAGACCCAGGACTGAGGCTGTAGACCCAGGACTGAGGCTTTAGACTAAGGACTGAGGCTGTAGACCCATGACTGAGGCTGTAGACCCATGACTGAGGCTGTAGACCCATGACTGAGGCTGTAGACCCATGACTGAGGCTGTAGACCCATGACTGAGGCTGTAGACCCAGGACTGAGGCTCAGATTAAGACACATTTTGCCAAATTTGGGCAGGTTTTGGGCCTGTGGGTTTGGGGTCTTCCTCTCCTGCTCGCTCTGGTCTCGGCCCAGTCCGACCTGAGTCCTGGGTCTTGAGTTCCCCGCTCTCTCCTGCGGCCCGTAAACGCCGCGCTCTCTGTTTTGACAGCGCGGTGTTTGTTTAAACTAAACCTGGTTCTATATTTAGCGGTGGTTTCCCAGAGAGCGCTAAAAATGGACATGAGTTATTTCTGACGCTGGTTTTTAGATAAGGTCTGACTTCACGGAGTCTCTCTGCTTTGGTTCAGAGCCGTATTCTCACTTATGTCAGATGGCTATCTATGAACTAATACGTCACTTTCAAACTACTACATAATAAAGAAGCTAGTCTAAAATCTCTAGCTTTAGCATAACAAAGAAGCTAGTGCTAAATCTAACTAATAATCTGCTCTTTTCCAATACTTCTTTAACTGATCACAGTTGTTCAGAGGTATTTGAATTTCTAAATTACTTTTCCAGCCTCTAAATCTTGTTATTGTTTTTATTTCGATGCCCCGCCCTCCACCGTTTCACCAATCAGAAAGTCTGTGATCCGGGCGCCAGAACTCACCGCATGGAGCTAATCTCACTGGTAAAGTACCATGTGGCGCAGAACTATAAAAGGTCTCGTTATGATTCTCAAATCATTAACGACAAAACAAGGAATAAAACCAGGATTTCTATCTTTGTGAAAAAGGTGTTGGTTATAGATTTGTTGTTGACAAAACTCTTGTCTATTCAGCTGTTATGGTCCCAGCTGGATTCGTCTGCATATCTGGCAACCTGAGTCAGGGAGAGTGGGAGAGGCTGCAGTACCACTTTGGGCCAGAGGTTTACAGACTGCTCCTTTAACAAGACTTAAAGCAGCAGTATTTTCATGTCAAGTCATCATTAAATGGCCCCAATATTTCCAAAGTCATTATTAAATCATGTTCTTTTCGAACACATCTGTAACTGAAAACAGTAGTTCAGAGATATTTGATCATCAAAACCCGTAAAAGTAGTTATTGTTTTGATTAGATGTTCTACCCTTCGCCGTTTCTCCGATCAGGAAGTGAGTGATCCGTGTTGGCAGAACTCCTGGTAAAGAACCATGTGGCGCAGAATAAAAAAAGGTTTTGTTATGATTCTCAAATCATTAACAACAAAACAAGGAATAAAACCAGGATTTATATTGCGACGCCTTTGAAAAATAGAGACCGCAGATAAAAGTTTGTGTGTGATGCTAAAGTTGCTGGATTGATGCAGTTTCCTCACAGACTAATGTGTCCAATGACGGTCCAGTGGTTGAGCCGCAGAGACCGGGACGAGACCGGGACGAGACCGGGACGAGACCAAGACGAGACCGGGACGAGACCGGGACGAGACCGGGACGAGACCGGGACGAGACCGGGACGAGACCAAGACGAGACCGGGACGAGACCAAGACGAGACCGGGACGAGACCGGGACGAGACCGGGACGAGACCGGGACGGGACCGGGACGAGACCGGGACGAGACCGGGACGAGACCGGGACGAGACCGGGACGAGACCGGGACGAGACCGGGCAGCGGCAGCTTGCATAATTTTACACTTTATGACAGATTGCTCAAAATCAGGTAAAAGACAATAATCAAGACGTTTTTAGCAGATTACAGGTTATTTGTAAAAAGAATCATTTGAGACCACACGTATTAAAATAATGTGTGTCTCTGTTTGATGTGGGAGTCTTAAAAACAGGGAATAAATCAAATCAAAGGGTGATCAAACCCTGAGGTCGATACGCTGAAGAAACATGTTCCAACATCCATTCTTCCCTCACATCAATTGCTTATTTATTTTGCATAATCTATAATTAAATTGATTTTATTTTGTTTTTCTCATCTCAAATGTCCAAATAAAAGAAATAAAAAAACATTGAATCAACACCAGCACGGCTCATGGCAGTGTGAGAGACAGACAAACAGCTGATCAAATAATTCCCTGTGTTTTCTGCTGGATTTGGTGAGTATCTGGCAACCTGCGTCTGGGAGAGGACAATACTGACTCTGACTGCAGTACCACTTTTGGACAGATTTTTACACAATGCTCCTTTAATGCTCAAATTTAACATATGTTTGTATCGCCCTGAAACACAACAGTAGCTCTCTCTGCGGACTTTACAAAGCTGTCGATTCAGCAACAACAGATCAGAGAATCAGACCGGTCAAACACAGAGACATTGGTCCATAAATGTGGTCCTGGATCATCTCAGACCCTCCTGGACCCTCCTGGACCAGAGAAGAAGAACTCTAAAAACCCAGCGGGAGCCGAGCGAGACCAGGATCTTGGCGTCTCGTCGGGTCTGAAACAAACCGGACTCTACGATGTTTTCTCTGCTGAACAAAGGCACTCATGTTTCTGGGTCAAAGCGATTTGGTTTCTCTTCCGTGGTTTTTAGGCCGACACATAATGGAGGCTGTTTTTAGACCACAGGCTTCTCTCCCAACTGTAAATCATATTTCAGTTCAGACACAACGGGCCGTGGGAGTTCCTGGTCGAGATTCATCCAGATTTCAACGTGGACTGTTTCTGTCTTTTCTCCACGTTCCAACATTGTCCCTGATTAAGTACGGCACATTAATGAACAATAAGACGGTGCTAATGTGTGGTTTAGTTTGTTAATGGGAGGCTCTTTGAGAGACGCCATCTTGTTTTTGATTTACAATGAATAAAACACAGTCCAGTTCACAAACAGGACAAAAGATGAGTTAAAACTACAGTCAAACAGAAACAACAGCAACTCGGCAAAGTCTGGGACCCATTCATTAAAGATAATAATATAAATATAATAATATAAATATAATAAATATAAATATAATAATATAAATATAATAATTATAAATATAATAAATTGAAAAATAATAAATATAAATATAATAAATACAAATATAATAATATAAATATAATAATTATAAATATAATAAATAGAAATATAATAAATAGAAATATAATGGAAAAGACTGAACACATTTCATTTGGTTCTTTTTCTTTCACTCTGCTGCTCTTAGATAAAAATAAATAAGTAAATAAACAGCAAAATGCAAAACTATTTTTATTAAATTAGAATCGATCTCTAAATGAGAACGTATAAAAACCATGTTCCTGATCAAATGTATGTTATTGATTTTTGTTGTTTGTTTTGTTCTGCAAAAAAAACTTACATTAAGACAAAACCATCGTTCTCCCAAACTCCAGAAAACCTCGACAGGATTTAAACAAACCAGAGTAGAGAGGATTCATGGTTTTACACTGGTCCAGACCAGAGCAGAGAGGATTCATGGTTTTACACTGGTCCAGACCAGAGCAGAGAGGATTCATGGTTTTACACTGGTCCAGACCAGAGCAGAGAGGATTGAACCAAACCCTTAGTTTTAATTCTAACTTTAAATATGATCTATTTGTGTTCATTTTCTCCTTTTCTCTCATGTGTTGTTCATATAACTGCTGCTGAATGTTGTTGATTCTTGAGTGACTGCAAAAGAAACCACTTGTCTGTGTTTGCAGTCGGGAATGTTCAGATTTGGACAAACCCTCCTCCCTCTAGTGGCAGCACAGGGAGTTACAGGCAGTTTCTACTGAAGACATTACTCCACAATCTAAAACATGATGTGGCTCGGAGCCCAGCAGGGGGCAGTGTGGAGGTACAGCCCTGAGATCAATAACTGGAGATCTGGAGAAAGAAAATATTACCGAAATGGCTTTTTAGCAAATGACGTCACGCATGGGTTCAAGGCCCGCCCCGCCCAGTATTCGTCATATGTTTTTTATTTTTATTTATTTATTTATTTGATAGGGACAATGCACATTAATGAACATCAGTATAAAACAAATGTAAATATGCCGGATTATAGCTACAAAGCTAGTTTTCATCCGTAGTCCCTAGGCAGGAAAATACATAACGAAATACAATACAATAAAATACAAAATAACACTATAACACTATTTATCTCTATTTAAATTCATTTTTATCTTGTACATGTTTGATGAATGTGTTTATGTTACTGGTATCTTTCCTCTGTCGTGATAATGGTGTCAGCAGGTCCTTCTGGTTCCCGGCCATCAGTAAAAGTCCATGATCCTCCAGGGATTGGTCTTTTCTGAACTCTTTGTCTTTGCACTGACTCCATTCACAAGAAATTAAACAATGTCCATATTTGTTGTTGGTGGAAACAGTCCTGGGTCAGTAGCTTTAGCGGCTAACTCCAATGCTAACTAATGCTACATTGCTAACAGAGATACCGGTCTTTAGATCCTTGTTGAGCTTCATCTGAACGTCCATTTTGCTGAAATACTAAGCACTGACTGCTCTGACGGCTTGATTGACAGCTCTCCTCAGAATGGCGCCCGGAGGCACTTTGGTCACATGACTGTTAGGGAGAGATTCTATTGGTCCAGAATCCAAACCAATCTAATCATCGAGGAACGTAAACACACTTCTGCCGCTCTTTTTTAGAGTTTCCTGGTTGTGTTATTTTTGGTTTGCGTGTTTTGGGGTCATAAATCGTGGGATATCGCTGCACTGTGTAAATGAGCTTCCCCTCGTCCATAGCGTGTCAACAGGAAGCAGCGTGTTTCAACCAATAAGAAGTGTTTAGGGGCGGGACCAAATAGAGACAAGGCGAGCGATTTTTCTCAGGGGTCGGGGTCAACGCTGGACTGTGTGACATCACTCGCTGCACGTGATGAAAGGTTGATTCAAACACACGCATTGGAATCACTTTTTATCGCTCGCTCTTGTCGGGGCCGAACCTGGACCGGGACCTGGACCGGGACATCCAATTTCTAAAACCAACCTTCTTACCCTTCACCTCTCTTCCTCATCATTCATATCGTCATTGAAACTTTACCCTAAGTGCATTTTAAATTATCTTAAAATGTGTTATCTGTATGTTAGCCAAACCTGTAGCTGCCCTCAGCAGAAGAAGAACAAGGAAGGAGCTTTCTGATGAAATTGGATGCAGTCAAATTCTGAGCGCCCCCCTGAGGCCTCAGTTGGTGATGCTATAAGTCTTGTTGAGCGCGATTAAGACCCATATTTGTTTCAAAAACACAGTTTATGACCCTCCTCTCAACTGTAGACGTGTAGATTATAAATGAAATATGTTTGAACTTTGTAAACCGCGATAAACAGAGAAACCAGTTCGATAGCAGCACACGGGCTCCTGCCTCTGAACCACAGGCTTTTACTTCTCCAAGTGAGGCTCTGAGAGTTCAAGGTAAAAATAAATGAATTAAGGCAAAGTTACATTGAAATAATACAATGACACAATTCACTCGACATAGAGACCAAGTATTATTGTTTCCATTTAATTCTGTTTTATTTCCATGATCTTCGATAAGGTCGGGCCTCACGGGCCTCACGGGCCTCATCTGACCTGTCACTGGGTCTGAACCACTGTATGTCAGAGTGAGGTGTTCGCAGTAATAGTCGTTAGCAGTGACAATACTTCCACCTTAGTTAACTTTGGAACAAGTTACTCCCAACACTGATCATGTTTAGTAAACATGGAGACGCTGAGATTCACATTTTGCACTTAGATAAAAACCGCCTTGTGCTAATTGCGAGCGCTAACCGTGTGTCGCTGCGTCCTGTCGGAGCAGACGGTTCCAAACCCAGAGCTTATTCCTTCAAACATGTTCAATATTGTTCAGGGATTATCAGGTCCAATAATCTGATGTTTGTGCAGTAATCCACACAAAGGGAATTTCAATCCCACGTTCCAGGCTTTATCTGCTGCTGACGGCGTTTAGAGACAAAAGAAAGTGCTGGAGATTCTGCCACAGATTAATCAGACGGAGATCAGAGAGTTTTCTGAGCCCGCTTTAAGGAAGTCGGGTTCTTGGAGGCTGTAAAGAAACATGGGGTAAGGGCTAAAGCTAATGCGCTAGTTAGCATCTATGTCAAGTTAACCTTAGAAATCTCAGATATGCCTTAACTCTGAGAGACTAATGAGAGTTAAGTGAGTTTGTTGAAGGAAGAAAAACAATCATCGAAAACAGTTAAATCTCAGACGCCTTGTGAGACTTCAAACTCAGCAAATGATGAAAGCCGTTAGTCCCTGGGCTTCCATCTCCTCATTAGACGCCTCTGTCCCACTGTTCTCTTCACACGTTATTAATAACACGTTAATGACACGTTAGCGCCGCCGTAGCACCCGCTAAGAGCCGCGAGGAGAAGCTGCGACAGAGACCACTGAGCAGGCTGGAGAGGCGCCTCAGTCCTGGGTCTACAGCCTCAGTCCTGGGTCTACAGCCTCAGTCCTGGGTCTACAGCCTCAGTCCTGGGTCTACAGCCTCAGTCCTGGGTCTACAGCCTCAGTCCTGGGTCTACAGCCTCAGTCTTGGGTCTACAGTCTCAGTCCTGGATCTACAGCCTCAGTCCTGGATCTACAGTCTCAGTCTTGGGTCTACAGCCTCAGTCCTGGGTCTACAGCCTCAGTCTTGGGTCTACAGCCTCAGTCCTGGGTCTACAGCCTCAGTCCTGGGTCTACAGCCTCAGTCCTGGATCTACAGTCTCAGTCTTGGGTCTACAGCCTCAGTCCTG